CATCTATCTTGTTCTCTGCTTTTCGAAGCATTTTTTACATCCAGCTGATTACCAATGATACAATTGTTCATTGCAAAAATCAAACTATTTTGTAACGGTACAAAATTCTAAACACATTCTATGCTAAGATCCTCATGGCATTAAGCAATTGTATCTTCTGAAAGTAATTATTTGATCTACGACCCACATACCTTTTGTATGGTTGCAGAAGATTGCAAAAGCTCTTACATTTCTTGATATTTGGATAGAATAATTTAGGATGAAGACAAGGATCATTAAGAGAAAAGAAGGATGTATCAAAAAGAACATTTAATTTAAAAGTGCAAATAATGGAAATTGTGCAGTAAACTATCGAAACAAGTTTTTTAGCAAGTACTATGATGTTTCGAATTTTTAAATTATGTGATTAAATAGATCGGACATAACAGTTGCACAAACCGGGACGTTAATCATGGAAACCATCCATAAAACATCATAATTTGACTTATTTTGGGTCACTGGACAGACACTCTGGTTCTGAAACACGATTTCTCGAGACAAAGCACGCAACAATCGTGCTGTCCGTCCAGACTTCTGGTTCTCGAAGCATTTGCCTTCTGTTGGAGGTCTCAGTGAAATTTAGATCAAATGAAACTCTCGTTTGACTGTCTGCATTCAACCTTTTTGCTTGAAATACCTTGACGTATCAAGTAAAACATTAGACAAACGTAAGACAGACAATGGAACATCCATCAGTCTTCACATCAATTATATTTTATAATGTAGTTTATCATTCAATTAAATATTTGAGTTGGCGTTCCCACAATAACCCTTGGGAACAAGATTTTTACTTCCAGGAAGGTAGAGTATGCAACGTACTTGATTTTATACGTAGATTACGAATATTACAATAAAAACGTCATATCACGTCACAATTTAAAATATACTGAATCGTTGCACCGTATCATACCGTATTTTGCTATTGTGCAAATTAAATTGCGCTTGTAAGATATGTAGAATCCATAGGCATAAAGTCTCTTTAAAAATAAAATATTTGTTCAGTTCATCTACGCCACTTTCATGAAATATCAACAAAATTAAGCTTTCGTTTTTTTTACCATCTGTATTCGAAGATTTCCGTCTTTATTCTTGCGTCTGGTGGTCGCTCTCAATTACGAGTACGTCTTAGTAGCCTTAGCAGGTCTTATTGGATGTTTTGAAAACACGTCACGTGCTCCCTCATTACTGAGAATTATTCACCGAAAGGAATTATTTTAGCCACTTACCTTATCGCAAGAATGCAAGTATACAACTGCTGCGCTGGCAGATTTCTGAGCCAGAAATATACGCGCAGTGCGCGTGAAGTTCGTGTCTGGTTTGCGTATACCTCAAATTCATTAATATATTACAGTTCTATGGTTTTGAAAAAGTGAAATTCACCACATGATCTGTAAAATTGAATTACTTTGCTAAAATGCAAATAATTTCACATCGAATGGGAGCGAATCAACCCGATAATTTCTCTTTCGTTTGTGGAAGATTTAAGGAAATTTCGTTTAAGGAAAAAAATATCTGAAATTACAAAAATGGCGTATTATTTATACTTTGGCTGTCGTGCTTGTGATCAGGACAAACCATGGGCTGCTTACAAGTGTTGTGTCGCCTGTTCAACGAACCTTAGGTTGTGGTTATAAGGAAAACTCAAATCGTTGTCATTCGTTCTACCAATGTTGTGGAGAATACCAACAAACCGTTTTAATATCTGTATTTTATTGCACGAATATGCGTATTCCTTTTTTAAGTTATTCTTATCTCATGTGAAGTATGTTCATAAAATTTTGTAGGAAACGCACCGCAGTGACACTGCAAAAACTAGCATACGATTTTGGTCATTTCATATAATAAATATATTCATATATTTTGGAACATGATAGAAACATTTTATAATGACTTTAGAAATCAGCGGGTTTGTTTCGTTTCAAATCACCTACTTTCATCTGGAGAAATTAAATGTTTTTTGTTGTGTAGTGTAATCGTAGATTTGTCAAATCTCAAAATTATTTCGAGACCACGAAAATAAAAGAATTACCTCGATCAAATTTACATTTGTGTATTTTCCATATTATATTGACAATAATTTTTGGGTTCTATTCTTTCGTCCTAAAATAGTAGAATAGTTATTTATATGACATTATATTTAAATGAAATTATATTCGTCAGGGGATCCGTTAAAATTCCAACCTCGATAGCACAATGGATAACATTCTCTGAAATGAATTGAATTGAACGAAACTGATGCCTCATTTTACGTGGCAAGACTCGGACCATCAGGCCTGCTCTTCTGTCTGACCACCCAAATTTCGCTTCACTCCTTTCACCCACTAGTGGAGAAAGGAGGTATCACTCGGGCGACGAAACAGGCGATTTGAGTTTAGCTCAGAGGCTTCATTTAGGCTTGATGATCTTTTACATGCAGGAAATGGGACAGCCGGGTTTACTTCCCCTCTGAAGGAAGGCGTACGTAGGATTTTTTCATCCTTAAAAATACACCACTTCGATTGGGTTTGAACCCGCCAACTTGGGTATAACAGTCCGGTACGCTGTTACATCGCCACCGCTAAATAAAGCTATATTAAGATCCGCGTCGTACTTACGACGTTTTGAAACATTTTTTGACTTAATGCATTTTTGTTAATTTTAAAAAAACAAAGCATATACAATGTTGAATATTGTGTAAGCAGCTAGCTGATACTCCTAACAAGAGACCCGATTCAAATACCCTTCCAATTTTTCTGCTTCATAACTGTTTCTATACAATTATACATTATATTGATGATCAAAAAGCAAAATAATGTTTATTTTGACAAAACAGTTATGTATAATGAATTAGTTTATATTTGTATTGTTTATTATTGTAAACACTTAATATGCTTGTAACAAATAATGTACTTAAGCTTCAGGGTCAATGACCCCATCTCGATCACGTTTGTTGCTAGTTTCCCTGATACATTGAGCAAATGCTGAGATGGCCCCAGGGTTTTGCTTCGGGACGTAAATGTAACTTCACTATCCGCTCGTTTTGTTGGATTCTCCCTTTGCTTGTAGTGGTAGGAGTAGAGATAAGTGCGAGTTAGTATTGTGTTAGCAATGCAGAAAATAATATCGTTCACAGTTCTTTTCACGTTACAAATGAATTTGATTTTCATTTATTTATTTATCTTTAACTTTTACTCTTCTTTCAACTATTTATAGTTAAAATGACGGCAAGGGATTCTGGAGCCCAAGAAAGTGTGTGCAGATGATCTCTCCCATACATCACATACAGTTTTTACTGCTTTTTGAGTAAACAAATCTAAAGTCTAAATACTGTGCAAGTGATTAGATGTTATGATTGCTAGGAGAAGGTAGGATGTTCGATATTTTGATCACGGCTTGTGCAGTGGTCTACTTAAATTCTGAAAATGATTATATACTCCTTCTGATAGTTAATAAATAGACTTGGTGTGATTAAAATTGTCGTTGAAAAGACGAAAACATATTATGAAAGAGATTCATAGCTTCGGCAAACGATGAATTAACGGAACTTATGGTGCCAACAGCATGCCCTTTCTTGCCCGTACTTTCACGCAAAATTACGCGCAAAGTAGTAAAATTTTCGAAAAAATTTTACGTGACCTTATTTCAAAATATACCTTTAAGGAGCATATTTTATGAAGAACAAAAACTCTATCTTCATAATTGTAGTTGTAAGAAGCAGTTGAAAAAAATTAAATTTTTTGGAAAGTTCCATAAATTTGATTTATCAACTAAAATGAGACCTACTCTATTCTATTAGACGTCGTTCACCCTAAGCAACAACAAAATTTAATCAAAAACAATGGCGCTTTTTTTATTATTGAAAATGTTCCAGAGGCTTTATATATAGTACCGCCAAAAAAATACCGATTTCAAATCGATCGGCGACATCAGCCAGATCAATTGGGCAATATCAATTTTGGAGAAAATCGGCAAAACTGTTTAGCCACTGGTGTTGTTGAGTGCTGGACAGATAGACGGACAGACAGAGAGACAGAAAGATAGACAGATGTTTTTCCGTCATTCGACTTTTCGGTATCAAAGACCCACAAAAGGGATTCTGAAGATCCCCCCCCTTAAATTTAACAACTAGATTTATGCAATTTTCGTTACCAGAGCCCTGTAATAAGAGTTTTTCTGCCAAGAAATTGCCGGTTTTTTGCGCACCATTACATAACTTTCTCACTACTGCGTAAGCGGTAGCAAGAAATTAAATGCGAGAGGAGTTCTGGAGAATGTATTATTTCCATACAGTGGCATAACGTTGGGGCCTACAAGGCCCGCGATGCAGGTAGGCCTAGGTAAAAGAGGGCCTATGTTTACGATGAAGATTTCGTTCGTAAGGAATATTATTTACTTAATACTTTCTCTGCTACTTTGCGATAGTTGATGCAATAAAAGTTTACAAATCTCGAGAAGAACTTTTTTCCTATTTTGATACCTTATGCAACCATGTTTTTGAATCAATATAATCATTTGTAAACTTGATTTCTTATGTAAAAATTATAGGCTGATAAATATGAATTTGATGAAGGATATTTTTTTATTATTGTAGGTACTAACATTACTTGTGTTTGCTATACACTTTTTTAAAGGGGGCCCGGATAAAAGTTTTGCGGGATGGACGGCACTAATTTCGTTACGCTACTGCTTCCATATTCCATAGTATATTAACAATCCGACACATTTTGTGTGATTTTAGGATTAAACCGTTTGTTGAGGGCAAAAGTACGAGAAAACACAAATCTTCAAGTACATACGTATCAATTTACTTTATAAGCAGTGTTGATGATGAGTGTATAGTGTTGCCATGGCAAAAATGAGGTCGAACTGGGGTACAGTAGCATTAAATGCAAAAGCAATGAAGTGATACATTGGAAAAATAAAATTTGTAAATAAAAATTCACCTTACTCACATTTATTTTAAATTGTATTGTTATATTCAGTTTCCATTTGATGATATGTTTTCTTAAAACAGTGAACGAAGCATCAATGAATGTAAAGTTTCAACTTGACAGTATTTGAATTTTGTAGTCAACAAAGCTAACAAACCAAGTTCAAAATCACTGCCACATATGAAATATATTAATATTTTGAAACTTGAGGTGCATCATTATTTAAGTATCTAATGGGATCCTTGCACAAAAAGAGATTGCAAAACCGAATACTGCGTTGAAAACCTTGAGAATGTATGTGAGTCTTTCCCTTACTTCTACTACAAACCTGGAGTACTTGCAGTTTTTTCTAGCCTCTCTCCAGTTTGCCGTAATCAAGTACCGAACAGACTGTCAGAACCAGATCTACTGCACCACCTTAGATGCACCCCTATTCACTATTCAGGGCTGGTCCCGGGGATGTACCGGTGCGGATCTCGTGCAGCTGCCTTCTCATCTATAATGGGGAGTTCTAGGAGTCGGTCACGTGAAATATTGCCCATTACATTTATATGTAGCATTGATTTTGCTTCGTTGTAGCGTTCACAATGCGAAATGTAAAAACAGGGTACTGCATTAGGGGTGGGGAGGTAATGATGAAAAAATCGGTTTTCATGTAACTCTAAAATGATATGTAGTTCAATAAGTCTTCAGTGACACTACATGAAAATATCAAATAGTTTATTGCCTAATATGAGATGAAGGATTATTTTAAAGTGTTGTACACTTTTTACATTTATTTTGTGAGCAATGAATGTGATGAAAATGAATATGCACAATTCGAAAATTTCATCGAATCTCAGACCTCTAAATGTTCAATATTTTTGGAGCGTTTTTGTTACATTTTTTTCGAATTTTACAATAGTGTGTTTTTTGAATTTTCTAAAATGTCAGTTAATAATGAAATTGATACTGAGTCTGATGAGAATTTCATACATTTACTTATAACTAAGCTAATACTTAGCAGGAATGCTTCAAAAAGTGGTTAAAATTAATTGAAATATGAAGGACGAATATTAATTTGCTTAGAAACTACTACTATTCAGAAAATGATGTTTAAAAAGTGATTATTTTATAAAATACTTAAAGAAGAAAATTATAGACAAAAATAATTAGTAAATAATGGTCATTGCAAATTAGAAAATTGAAATAATTTCAGTACGAAAAATTTAATTGAGTTTTAAATTTCCATAAACGCAAATAATTAAACACGATCTATTTGCACATTTGAATTATTCGCAAATAATGAACTATAATAAAACGATAATTTAAATGCATGGTCCGAATATTTTCTTCTCCATAAAAAAAACGATACTTTTCAAAACCTAGTTTTATTAAATGAACAAAGGATTCTAATTGTTTTTGAATGAATAATAGTCTGCTCCCAGCATATCATTGGACTTTTGAGAAACAAAAATTTCCATTCGGAGGGTCTATAGATGATGAAAAGATAATGGCAAGACACTCCACGGTCTAGAGGAATCCAAAGAAGGGAAAAATGTATTTGCCTTCACGAATATGCATATTACGTATATGATGAGTATATCGTACGTAATGATAAGCTTTAGTGGTTTTCATAAATCTTTTGATTTTTCCTTGGTCATAGCTTGTCGAGGTTAATTAGGCAGTGTTTGTTTAGTTAGTTGTTCTCTATGGTAACAAAAAAATCTTATATTCGTTTGATGCGTAAACGCGATAAAAATTTGTGAATGTAGTTTGATTGTCTAAGAATTCTGGATGAAATATACAATATTAACTAAAATATACGTATATTAACTTAATTTTTCATTGATATTTGTCGGATTATTCAGCATTCTACTCGCTACGGTAAAATAATTATATTCACAAACATTGGGTGATGGAAACTGTCTATATATACTGTTTAGTTGACTTTGTGCCAGACATTTTTTTAGCATTATGTTTTCTTAGAACTTTACAATAATAAATCGAAAATAAGCATGATACAGTAAACGCGTGACGACTCCAGCGTGTATTTCCGTATTAAACATTTGTACTTGTGCTAGGAAAGTGCACAATATAAAGAATTTTAAACATAATACTTTTTCCTGTCTCCTCCATTGTCGGGTGTACCAAGGTACTTGAAAAAGTAGTGATATAAATATGTTTTTAATATTTGTTTCATTACTATAGTAGGTTTACCTAACGTCAACCTGATGGATCAAGTCGTAACGATTAAAGTTATGCTGTAAAGACAGTAAAATAATTCATATTGTTTCAGCACACCAGGTACCTTAAAAACCCCAACACATTTCTATAGTTCTTCCACAATAATCCAGAAGGATCGGGCTAAAAATAGATCCAACCGAAGTTTTTGGTTGGGAGGAATCGAATTAACATGCCTTAGCCCGTGCTGCAAAATACGTGTAGGTGCTTGAACTCCAACCCACAACATTTTCTTCGGATTATCTGAAAGTGTTCTGGAAAGGCCCAAAAAATGGTCTGGCTCCGGTAGACCGAGAAGCATCGAATGACACATAATTTACCCCTAATGGCGGATCGGAGGGGGTCTAACTGTGAGTAACGGACGCACACACGGACACCAGCATATTACCCGATTACTAAATGTAGATGAGCGAGGTACTTCGGCCTTGCAAACTGGCATCTTGAAAATAAATTACTAAAATAATAGTTTTTATGGATAGAAAACCTTATTAATGATTCAATAAATAAAGGTTGGGAATTTTCACCATAGCAATAATACTTCTTCAAAGCCTTTTATATGCTACACATTATCATTTGCAGTATGTACTATATTACTGCATTTGCTAATAGAAAAGAGACATATATGAAAATTTGTGTTCTCATTGATTAAAATTACAGTGATGCAAAAAAAAATTTCTGTCACCTGTTGAGAGGGTCATTTCAAGCCTGCTGGGGGAGTTTTATTGTATTTGATTGATTGATTGATTTACCGCCACGTTAAAAGTTGTATAATATATATGGGGAAAAGGTATAATTTGGGAACGTGAGAGCTCGAACGTATACTCGGCCAAACCGCTGTATTCTTTTTGTTTTATCGTACTTCTTTTGTATAGAAATTACGAACTGCGGTGGAATAACCGACTTCTTCAAGGCGGTTTTGACAACTAACGATTGCTTTTCTTCTAAATTCTTATTATAGATCTTTGCTTGAAAAAATATTAATTGTCCATTCTTATTCATGGTCTTGCCAAATATATTGTTTGATGTTTTTCTTTTTATTGTAAACTTCAAGGGTCTCTTAGGTAGTCTCGTTTTGTAGTATGAAAGTGATTGACACGTTCTCAGTTTGCAAATGTTAATGAAAGTGTCTGGTCTCCAAAATAGTTGTATTTTTCAACCTAAAGTTTATTTATTAACTCCAAGCAATGTGCCAACACCATTTGAGGTGCACCGTTTGCAATGTACCACCACACCAGTCTCTGTAATGTTCCTTTCAAAAAGCTACTAAGTGCAGATCTCTGCAGCCGCAAAGACACCTTCAATTGACGAACATATAGGCCAGTGTAGAAAACTTAGTTTTGGAAAGCGAAAACGTCAGAGAGAGTCAAACCACGACAATAATATGAATAGGTTTCATAATAATCTCACCATCGCAAATAGAACCTTGAGAGCAAATATATTATATTTATCGTTAAGAAAACAATTAATAACTATAAAGCGTATCATGGGGAGACGTGCAATCAGTGTACGGTTTCTTGATCTCTGGGGTATGGGTAACTCATATTCATATTACTGTAAGTTGAATTATAAATACAGATAAAAACAAGCTTTTTTAGCAAGAATTGGTATGAAAATATTCTGATAGAACATTGTGCTTCCGGCAGAAGTATACTTTTGTTCTGAAAGCCGGGTGGCACTCTACAAATATGTCCGTTCACTTTTATTAGAGTAATATTCTCCAGTTACAGTTTTCCTATTCTCGAAACAATCGATTAAGAGAATTCCTTTTGTATCCCAAAACACTGACTGGCGCCGTCTGCGGTGGCTTTGGAACTGATGACCAGGCATCTGTCGAATGTTAGAACTGGTTTGATTTCGGCGATCAATGATAAATCTACGTTTCATCCATTGCCACGTATCGTCACAGTAAGTCACTCCTGTTTTTCTTAAAACGCGGCAAACTACTTTTGATAAGTTATATGCGAATGTATTTTCATCGCCCCGGTCACGCAAGGCACCCATCATGGGCAAAGCTTTCTCATGTGTAATTCTTCGCCAAAAATGTGAGCGACGCACTTATTAGAAAATACTCGAGAAAATACTTTGACAAATTGTTTACACTTCTTTCATCCTCTCCTTGCTGTATCAAATGTACAACGAGGAAAACAATTCCAAGAGAATACTTTAACGATATACGAAATATATGTTGAAAACTCCATGAAAATAAATCTTAACTATAATAATATATGTTAAAATTTGTAAGTTTTGAATGTATATAATTTTTGAATGTATGTGTAGAGACTACATAGATTTAATAATGAACAATATAACGTAACATAGTGTATTTTATGTAAATTTTTAAGATGTATATCTTAAAAAATATAGTAAGTATGAAAGTATGTATATAAGCCAAATTGCCAAATAGTATGTACCAAAAATTAAAACATACAAATCTCCGAAAGGTCGAACAGCCGAGTAGGAAGAATTTTTTTTTTTAATTCGTTTTTTCATGCCGATATTTCAAGATCGCATTGTGCTCATTTCTGATGTTTTCAGGTATTTTTCTACTTTTCGGATTTCATTCACGTAAATCAACTTGCATGCTGTAACACTCACGTTTAAACTTGTGCGCACAATTTCTTCACGATGAAAATTGAACGACTTCTTCAATATCGTTTCGATGTGGACACAGGTTTTTGGACCTGGTGTGAATTTCGGTCAGTGTGAAAGATTCTTTTACGGAGAAATTTATCACTGCACGTTACGTGATTGTTTGCATTTCGATAAATATTCGCACGAAATTGTAGATAATACTCGTATCCCCTTCTATTACTGATACATTTGATTTTAAAATTCGTCTTTATGCTACTCAAAATGTTGTATTGGTATTAGAGTTTATAACTCAGATTTCAATTCAGCATAAACTAA